GGCTCTGTTTGACGATCTGATATATGCGAGGAGAAGGTGCTCGGTGGCGCATGCGGATCGGACAAAGATGGCGTGGGAAGCGAGGGCCGAGATGGAAGTGGGAATGTCAAACAGCAAAGGGGCAAAGAGGGATGAGAGTGCGTGCGGGGTGAGGCCGGAAAGGTGGGAGTGGGCGGCGAAGCGGGCGAGGAGGTGGAAGAGAGGGGCGAGGATGAGGTTGTAGACGTCGGGAGGGACGAGCTGCTTGATATATGGGAAAGCGTCGGTGGGATAGCCCGCCGCTGAGGACAATCAGCGCCGCTCGTCGCGACAAGACGTTACTCACCTCGTTCTCTTCCCCGCCATTCCTCGTACACTTCCCACTCCATCACGCCATGACAAACAATCCTCGCTCCTTCCTTGACACGAGTGATCCTGCTGAGTGCCCAGCGAAAAAGCCACGCGAGTTCGTGTTCTTTGGCGAATTTGATGTCTTGAAGGCAAGATTCGAGCTTTGAGCGAGATTGACGACCGGAAGTGCTATCGACGGGTCAGCCAATGAATGTGATAGATTGAAGAAGGCATACGAAACGGTATCCAGGAAGGATTCGATCAGCATCTTTGTCCGTGTTTGGGATAATTCAAGAGCCTGATTCGAAAACAGCAAGGGAGTGGCAAGAGCTGTAGACATGTCAGCTTGTACCTTCCTGTTAGTGGAGACTACTCACCCCTGCTCTCGAGCTCCTCCCCGACAATTTTGATGAGCCGCCCAACGTCTCCCAGACTGAGCGTGATGCCCCTTCCAATACCGTTCAGAAACCCATACTGCCGCGCAAACTCTCCGCCATTCCTCTGGATATCATCCGCCGAGTAGGAAAAGGAATCGATCGAGTTGTCGGATGTTGTGCTGGGTGGGATGTGGGTGGGGCAGAAGGAGTATTTGGGTGGTAGTAAAGGAGGTGGAGAGGACGGGGGAGTCGGGAGTTGTGCTTGGCGAGCGGGGAGCGTCCTTCTGAGGTGGTCAGCTAGAGCACAGAGACAGAGGGTGGGACGGGGGACGCACCTGGCACCAGGCCGGTCATTCGACGCGCCAAACTCGTCAAAGCCGACCTGCTTTCCGCCCTTCCTTGACGGAGTGGGTTGAGAGTCGGTATAAGGGCGAGCGGGCGAGGGCGTGGCGGGGAGGGTTTGGGCGTTCTTGCCGGGCTTGTCCTTCTTTCGAAAGAGGGAGGCCATGTTGGATAGTGGTAAGGAGCAGATGGTGTTGGGGATGATGTTGACAGATGGAGTTGAAGGAATGGTTGCGAGGCGGGCTGTCGCTCTGGGGGTTGCGTTGTGTGTTGCCTCGAGACAGAGGGCAGCTGAAGGGGGTGCGCAAAGAGCGTTGGCGGGTCTGACGGGGGCAATTGAGGGTATGGCGACGCGTCCAAGGAGAAGGAAGAGTCAGAGATGAGGATGCAAAAGACAGGCAGAAAGAGAATGGATAGGGCATTGGGGATGAAACGAGGGGCCAATGCGCCAGGGGATGGTCCGAGCGCGGGTCAAGAACAAAAGGATGCAGGAGAAGGGGCGTCGCGTGGGTGCCAGACATGGCGGGCGTGTGTTGGTGTATGGCAGCGGCTGTACAGGCGGGGTTCCAGCGATATCCCAGAGCTGGCTCAGTAACAGACAACCAAACAGCAGCGGGTGACAGGCAAGCAGCGGCCGCCGTGCATATGCCGCAAACCTAATCGCATTACAACTCTGGCTGATTACAAACTGATTACTAGCTGATTACAAAACGGACAGTCCGTCGGCGGCGCTCCCCGCTCTGCGTCTCTCGGTCATGTCTCTATCGATTGTGGCTTCGCAAACATCCCCCCCCTTTCTCTACAACACAAGAACAATTCCCTTTTCCAAACCACATCCACACATGCTAATATAATAACGCACCACTACCCTTCCGCCCCTCCCGATGTCTTCGTCTTCCACAAACAACACACCCCCCCTCCAAACCTCTCCCCCATCTTCTTCCCAGGACACAGCAGGCTCTCAGCAGTCCGCCCCCGCAGCACCAACATCCCCCGGTCCGCCTGTATCAGCGCCTCTCCCTTTCAACCCCACCACAGTCTCACGTCCGCCGGCGCCCCTTCATCCCCAAACAAGATCCACCGATACTGCACCTTTATCTGCCCCCGGTGCTCCTGGCACGCAAGGGAAGCGCCGATGGACGGTCACCCAGCGCCCAAGGACGGCTTCGGTAGTCCAGGATCTACGGTCCGCTATGCCGACGGCCGCTGTGACCACTCCTTCGACGACAAAATCCCCCCCTACCCCTTCTTCTGCCGACATTGAGCGTACAGCTGGCTCTGCTTTCGTCCCTCGCTCCACGGGTGGACGGGCTCGGTCGCATACCGTGTCTGTATCCTTGCCCGCTCGACAGGCTATTGCGTACGATGCGAGATTGCCAAGAAGACAAGCGTCCAACGACGTCGAGCTTGGACAAGGGCGGCGTGCTTCTCCCTCTAGCTCGGGTCGACAGTCGAGGCGTCGCGGGGGTACGGGAAGCGAGGGCGATCCGGCAGAGAGCAGCACTCGGACGAGGGCGAGGAGGGGCAGCTCGCCGGTGGGGTACGAGATTGGAACGGGGGGAAGAGAGCACGAGTTGGGCGATGAGATGGTTGGAATTCTGGATGTCATTGACCCGCAAGTCGCTACTAGTGAGTCTTCTTCCACTCCACCCCCTTCTGTGCTGACAGCTTGCAGTGAATCACCTTCAAAATATGACAAACTCGGTCATGTTTCCCTATCTTCCCCAAGTCTGGTCACGCCGCCCCGACGTCCAGCTCTCACCCGACTCTTCCGACGAAAGCCTCACCCCTCTCCAACCGTCCCAAGACGCAGCTCAACCGCTTTCTCCTCCATCGTCTCGTTTCAGATCAGCTTCCACCAGCTCTAGGAGGGGATCGTTGAGCTTGGGGAGGTTTCTCCCGGGAAGGGGGGGTAGGGATGAGGGGGAGGATGGGGGGATGAACAGTGCGCCGGCGGGCGTGATTTGGGAAGGGGCGCATCCACTTGCTATACCCGAGGAAGAGCTCCCGACAGAGCATACGGGGACCCCTCCCTCGGACGGTCTTGAGACTACTATCACCAAACCACCCACCGCCCTGTCAAAGCCTTCGCCATCACACTCCTCCCTTTCCCTTTCCTCGCAAGCCCCCTTTCTCGACCAAGACCAAGTCGACCACGCTCGTATCGATCGTCACGTCCGCCACATCCTCTCTTCCACCCAAAAGCAAAAGCTTCGCCTCGCCCTCAAAGGTCTTTGGGCGTTTGTCAAGACGCCTATGGGGTTCATCACCGCTGTTTATGGGTTTTTGGTCGTCTTTTGGGGTGCCGCGATCGTTCTTTTCTTGCTGGGGTGGATAGATGTTGGGGGAGGGGACAAGCAGAGCGTGTGGGTGGAGATCAGTAGTCAGGTGGAGAATGGGCTATTCACAGTAACGGGGGTGGGACTGATTCCGTGGAGGAGTATCGATACGTATCGTGAGTTTATCTACTGTTGTGAGGCCTCCTAAGAGGTCCCTCGCTGAGCTTTGCTGACGGATATTCAGGTATGGGTGTCATTTGGACGCTGAAAAGAAGAGGAGAGAGACGGCGGGACAAGCTCGGTCTTCCCCCTATCGAGGATCACAACGATTTGCCAGACCCAAAGACTATTCCCGGCTACATACATGTAAGCTTGCCTCTCCATTTCATCTAAACCTGCCTTTTGATCAGCTGGGGCTGACTGTTGATATAGGTGTTGAACGAACAAGAATACGCCAAACTCGCGCACAATCAAGAAAAGTTTGCATTGTCTCAAACTTGGTACAAGCCGCATGCTACGGCGACACATCGTGCTTTCCCTATCAAATGGGCTCTTTGGAACACTATAGTAAGTGATCATCTTTGCTTATCCTCAATGTGCTACTTTCACCACTCGCCGCGCCCTTCCCCCTTTCCCCCCTTTGCCATCTTCTCTCGCGACGCTCATTGCAACTTTCCCCCTTAATTTCCTCTATTGCAACGACTGTGGTGGCACCGCTGACGTCCTTGATAGCTCATGGACATGAACTCTGTCTTCCAGTGTATACTCTGCGGCTGTATGTGGGGTATGAGATGGCGTCAGAGGCCGGCGTGGACGACGGGTTGTCTCATTCCTCTCTCGTTCTTGTGTGGTATCGGGTGAGTCTGACTTCCACTTCACCCTGTGTTCTCCCCTCTCAAAACCTGTGATTATGACTGATTCACATTGATAGTGCTGCCCTCCTCATCTTCTTCGGCTCCAAACGCACCAAAAAGCAGATCGTCGTCTCCCAAAAACTTCGCCAAGCTCTCGGTGTCCCCCTTGCTATCGCCCAACCGTCTACACTCGATCCCAAAAATCCCCTCATATTGAGGGGAATGCAAGATATGGAGAAGGAGGAAAGGCTTGGAGATGTAGGGGGGAGAACGAAAGATGGGGGAGCTATTGTTGGACATGCTGAAAATGGGGGCGAGGGAGGCAAAGAGGGACGAGGAGAGAGGCGGGAGACAGTGACGTTTGGGACAAAGGGGGAAAAGGGGGCAGAGGATCATCGACATCGCGGTTTGAGCCTGCCATCAACGTTTCACCCTCAATCAGGCTACGCGCATCTGTCGTCGCTCCCCGAGAATGAGGTTGTGAGGTCCCCATCTGAAATGTCTCCTCTTTCGATAGTGTCGGATGCTGGTCTGCGAGGACATTCAACCAGCAGAGTAGAAGCAGAGGATGAGAAGGCGATAGTTGTGGAGGACATCAGGCCGGCCACTGGTGCCATGGGGGGGAACATGAAAGATTAAAAGTTGTAGGACATTCATTGATCTTGCTCTGTGTTGCGCACATTGTCTCTATGTAATATGTTGTAATATGGTATGCATGTGTAACCTTTCTCAACATGGAAGATTGCTGATAGCCATGATAATATATACTCAAGATTGCGTGCCTTTGAGAAAACGGGACAAAATAAAAAATATAGCAAGCCGGCGTGGCCAAATGGTTACGGCGTCCGCTTCCTATTTCGATTCAGTGGCGATAGCGGGAGATTGAGGGTTCGATCCCCTCCGTTGGTTTTCTTTTTGTCTTTTCCACTCATGTATGTAGTCACCTGCCGGAACATACAGTTGACCGACTTCAGGCATATACATGCATTTTGACTCATACCTGTCTACACATGCCTTCATTTTGTATTGGTTCTGCCTTTGTTGTGTCTCTTCAAAGGATTGCATGATTAGCTCATGGACTGCACAAAAAGTGCATGGATTGCCTGCAAAATCAAGAAACAGCATAAAATCTTCAGTACATCAGCAAATTGGTGTGTTTGCCTACTATATGAAAGAATGGGACGCAAGTCCAGTAGACCATTGGAATTGAAGCACGCAGGCATGTCTTCATAGTACGTGATAGGCTCAAACATTATTTCTATTGCTATCTGGCTTGTCAAAGTGGTACCTCCTATTGTGTCTGCTGCTTCACGGCTACTAGGGGGGGAAGGTGGATTAGGGGTGTATGCATGTTGATTCATTTCCATGCCTGCTCAAAAAGGCCAGGCTGTAGCTTATGCTTCAGTCTGCAATGTTGGAAAAGTGGATTACTTATCTTTGATCACTCCATGCTGAAAACACTCGGAGGTGCAACTGGGTACGCCTGCTAACGCGGGATGCTCATGTTCAGTCTCCACTGTATAATGTATGATATATATATAAGATAACATATAGTACTAATAATATGTATAATATAGAAAATTATATAACGGTTATAAATATATACATGGTTTGGGTTATATAGAGATAATAGGGTTAGCGGGGTTAGCGGGGTTAGGGGTTAGCGGGGTTAGCGGGGTTAGCGGGG